CCAAGATCCCAAGTTTCGAACACTATCAACCGGCTTAATTTGGACCCCACCAACGTTAACGGATTCAATGTTTATTTTCAAAAGTTGTTGTGGTGTACCAATTACAAGAAATTCCGTTTTCGAATCTTTGAACATTAATTTATGAGACAACAGCCAAGTACGAACATCAGAAATACAATCTTCCAGTGCGGCTAGGGTACTTTCTGAATTATCTTCACAATCTGGGCGAAAGGATACATAAAGTTGCGTGTCATCAGCATATCCATGAGAAGAGGGTAAGTGCCTGTCAATAATGTCATATAGTTGGGATACATAAAGCAGAAAAAGTATGAGGCCAAGACAACTCCCTTGAGGCACTCCGTACTTAACATCGCAGTCTTCAGAAAAATTGTTATCCAGATCAACTCTCTGTTTCCTGTTCAATAGATATCCATTCAAGAGCCCCATCCGTCACTCCAAATTGATACTCCAATACGTCAATGATAGTTTTATGATCAATTGTATCGAACGCTGAGCTTAAGTCCAAGAGTACAAGAAAACACACTTCCTGCCTGTCCATACTCAAAAGAATATCGCTTTGCACCTTTAGCAGAGCCGTCTCTGTCGAATGATATTTCCTGAAGCCAGATTGACAGATAGGGAGAGGTGCATGTTTTTCACAATGGTTCAGCAATTGGTTGGCGGCTGCCTTTTCAGTGATCTTAGAAAGAAATGACAGATTGCTCACAGGCCTAAAGTTCTCAAATACTGGGTCCAAGCTAGACTTTTTCAGGTTTGGTTTCAGCAGAGCAATTTTCCAGTGATCTGGGACACGACCCTCCTGCAAGGATAAATTTACAATTTTGGTGATAGAGGGAATTAGTTCCAGACAACAGATTTTAACAAGCCATGATGGGATCGGATCAAGCTTGCAGCTGGCACTGGACAATTGCATAATAACATCATAAATATCCTGGGAAGAAAGTATCTCAAAAGATTTTAATTTGACTTCAGGGTTACGGTAATGCACCAACGGAGGATCGACATGGATACTGTCCACATTTTCCCTAATCAATTCAATTTTGCGGAAAAAATATTCGTTGAACCTATTTGCTAATTGACCAAGATCGTCATGAGGTGGTAAGGGATCTTCATGCGGTGTATTACAAAGGGAGCTCACAATTCTGTAAAGATTCTTTGGATCGTTGGAGCTATCATTGATAAGGGAAGTATAATAATCAGTTCGGGCTTTATTCAACAAGTAACAATATCGGTTACATATTTTCCGATAGGCAGTCCAATCTACTTCTAATTTTGTTTTCCGCATCTTTCTCTCTAGTCTCCTACGCTTTACTTTCAATTGTCTTAGTTCGTCATTGTACCAAGGAGTTGAACGCTTAACTTTCATTAGCTTTCTTTGGACAGGAGCATGGGTATTTAAAATATGTGAAAGTACGTCATCATAGCAATGCACTAATTCATCAAGATGTGCAATGTTTTCGCAATGTGAATTCACATTGCTTAGATCAAGTTTAAAGTCAACAATGTTAATCTTTTTCAGTTCACGATAAGAAATTAGCTTTTTGGAGTCATTCGGACGAGGAATAGATAATTTACATTCTACAAAACAATGATCGGACAGAAAGAAAGTACTTTCAATCGAAAGGATATTAATGTCACTTGTAGATCGACTTATCAATAGATCCAGTGTATGATTGGACGAATGTGTTGGAGTACAAACATGTTGTTTGAGGCCAAATGTTTCAAGCATCTCATTAAATTTTATCGTGTTTCTGTTAACCGTATCATTTATAGGTGGGTTAGGGCGTGCGATTCGTTGTTGCACAGCTTCCCGAGCAGCCTCTCTCTCCAACGGATTTGCGTGGCGCATTTCATTTGCTCTTTCCAACAAGCCTCTATACAAATTTAACATACAACTCCAAAATTAGAATTTCAATTTCACCAATTATATATACTTCCACTACAAAAATATACTGCTAAGAAAACGATTTATTAAACTTACTCTCGTTGTTCTCGGCCTATAAATTAGCGAACTCTTCTTCGAACCGTGTTTCGTCGTTCTACATTTCCATACAAATCTTGGACGTTGTTGGGGAGTTGTTGGAATCGTTCATCTCTTCTGACGTCGTTTACAACAACGTCCCAAAGAGCGCCATTCCTTCGATACATATCGTGCAGTAAATTTCTTTCTACGTCACGCACTATTTCTCGTTGGCGTCGTGGAGGCATAAATCACAAATTTTGTATATCTTACGACAGGCGTAGTATCTTACTCACTGACTTTCTAAGGTTGTCATGCAAGTTCTGCAGTGCGGATGAAAGCCGGTTTTAAGAATTTGTAATTATTGTATGAAAATATTAACTTAAAGAACATATTTCTATTCCCAAAGGGAAAGGTATTTGTGAAGAATATTTAAATCTGATCGTGAATCAAATGATATTACGAGATTTATAGCGAGGACATATCGACGATACCTTCAGTATTGAAGCATAACACGGCGAGCCAGAGTAAAACGATTTTAATTTCAGGAATCGATAGAAAATGGATCGCTAGAAATTTTTTATGACTCTGCTTTTGGGACTTGAAGGCTGAACGACTAATGTATTCTCTTATGACTTTTGGGTCTGCCAGGAAAAGTTTTAAGATTCAAACATTTTCTGTACAAATAGTTTAATTTACATTGAACGTGAATGCACGCGAATGAAAACTTTTTACATGCACACATATTTTCGCACGATGGGATAGTACGTTGTGTAGATCACTAGAGTCTACAGATTGCCTATGTCGATATATCGCCCCATGTGAGGTAATCCAGGAGGTATTTGGATTCCGGATCCCACTGCTTGGATTCCGGATCCTACTCCTTGGATTCCGGATTCCAATTTATTATTTGGTGTATTGCAAAGCCAATAAATACACTTTCAGTTCCCAGTGCACCTGTTACTGTATATATTATCAAAGACGTTTTGATAATAAAAGATATAGCTTCAAATAAATACATCAAAATTATATATTGATACTCTGTAGTGCAACTTACATTGTTTATGTTTCGCGGCAAGGCCCTCTTCAGAAACTTTTCTAAAAAGTTAATTGCGGTGTCAACGGTGAGAAAGAACAACAATTTTTAAATTCTGGGAAATTATTTTTGGTTACCCTAAAATTCAACGCGTGTGTCTTGGTTTACTTGTTCTTGACTTCTAGAAATCTCTAGCTAGGTTCTTATTTCACTTATTGTTCTGATAAAATCAGTACATAACAAAATTACAATGAATACACTTTTTCTGCAATAAAATTACGAAAAATCGCGCTGAGTAGATGGTTGCTTCACTATCTATCAACGAAGAGACATATGGCGAGTAGCTTAACCTAACAATAAATATGAGATAAATATACGATTCAATCTATATGTAGACTACCAAACTTTATGATCCAGAAAATGTGTCACAGCTTTGCTACTCAGTTATTCTTAGTTGGCCACTGATACTGCATTTGTAACAGAAGTCTACTCAAAACTGTGTAACGAAACATTCTCTAAGTGGTGTTGTAACAATCCAGTGTTTGTATTAATCAGATCATAGGATGAGTAACAATTACTTTAATAAAAATGTTTCGAAGAATAGCTTTCTCTTTAGATATTAAAAAAAGCAACGCAACTGCATGTAAAGGTATGAAAGCTTTAACTTTAAACACTTTAATTTTAATGTCAAACAACTACATATCTTAAAAACATGCATGGAGCAATACTTCGAAACGTTGTTATTATTATAATTATTACTAACTAATTATTATAATTATTACTAACTAATCCATGTGGCTTATTATGATTAAGCCGCTTTGGTTTAAGTACGGGTGCCAGATGCGGATAGCGCGCTGCTACTCACCAGTGAATTAAGCATATTACACCAGGCGAAGCCGCGAAGGTCATGGGTTTTACGTTGGTGGAGTAACTTCCGTGTACATCAATTAAATTATCTTACAGAGCCTGGTCAGTTTTCTCCTGTGTTTCGACACTCTTTCAGATATTCCGGCCTTACCCGCTTTCCTCAGTAAAAACTAACAGTTAGGCATTAAATATGCTAACCTGACTATCGGACTAACCTTAAGGTTCACCTTTTAAAATAAATACGACATGTCTGAATAAAACTATCATCAATCAATCAATTCAAACACTGGATTACACAAACATGGAAATGTTTCTATCCCTCAAATACTGTAATGCATAGTGATAAAATGAATAATAATTGTAGAATGTGTGTCACTGTAGCTGAGAAGGAAACGGGTTCTTCCTCCAGACAGGTTGACCGGGAAATCTTGGGGGAATCTCATCCTCATATCCGTTAGCAATGCGTGAATGTTCTCCTCCGGAGGGACTAGAAAGTGTTCGTGTTGCAACAAAATCCAGCGAGAATCGGCCATGATACACTTCGGGAGTTCTAATTGTCACAGGTATCACCTTTGACATGACAGAAGGGATCCTCTGTTTGGTTAAGCCATCAAATGCTCATACAGTGCCGTAGGAAGCTCTTTTTTGTTAGGGAGCTGATAACGAGGGCCGAAGGCCCGAGGAAATTTTTAAATTTAGAATCTCTGAAATTAATGCCATTTCCTGGACTTTGGGGGAAGATTTGACAGAATTTTGTACTGGTAGTATTCAATTAATTCGCCCATTTAGTACTACTATTACAGAATTCTGAAATAGTAGTACCAAATGCGCGAAGGCATATTCAGTAATAAACTATATATTGGATAAGTTGCAGGAAAGTATGGGTAATATCTTCATTCTTTGCAGTTTGTCATTAATCAATTGTCAGTATTTTGAAGGTATATTATTTACTAATGATATTATTAGCAAATTATTGGGGGGGGGGCTGCAGCCCCCCCTCCCAGCTCCTCCCGGTTGCTACGGCCCTCTCATAATGTTTTTCAAGAACCTTCCACTGTCAGCTTTGACGCAAACATCCTCCAGAAGAATAGCTAACCAGTACGGGGATGGTTCCCTTCTTAAATTGTGGCTGATGGCGACGACGTCATCCATGCGGTACAGAACCCTAACCCGTACTGAATTGCCTCGATTAACGTTGGGCGCATTGACAGCCTGGCATTCTAACACGATTTCCTCCGCTCCAGCATGCCAAACGTTATCAAATGCTTTTGATATATCTAGAAATACAGCTCGTACCTCATTTTCTCTATCTAAACAATCATATATGTTGCATAACAGTAGAGTCACCAGAACGAAAACCAGATTGAAATCGGTAGAATTCAATCTGGTTTTCGTTCAATGCTTTCAAGAAAGGTATACACTTTTATAAAAACCACATTCTCGCAAATTTTACTTAAGCAAGAAAGAAGTGCTACGGGGCGGCAATTGGATTTAATTTGTTTATTATCTTTTTTGAAGAGAGATAAAACGT